CCAGAAACAAAATCCCTTTCATTTTGCCCTCTTATCATGTAACATACATTTCTTCAGAAGTCAGTTCCTGCTCTATCATGTCCTTGTACAGTAGCTTATTTTAAAAAGTAAATGGAAATGAAGGGCTTCACTAGACAAGACAGCTTTCTACAGGTAAAAGACCCTATTGTGTGTGGTCAGTGAAGTGGTTAAATGCAAATGGAGGCCTTGCCTTGATCCTTCATCATCTACAAGCACACAGAGAGACAGAATGCATCCTATTCAGATTTATCTAAACCTATGTCTATAGTTCCTATTATGAATGTAATTGTTTGGTGCTTTTCCACAATGAAAAGCACTGCAGGCTTATTTTGGATTATTCAAAGCAATTTATCTCATCTTAGAAAAGAAACAATAACTTTCTGCATGTTTATCTATTTTTTTGCTGACTTAGAGTGACACCAGATCATGCAGTGCATTCCCTGTTTTTTAAGGGGATCAATACCAATTTTGCCTGTTGGCTGGAAGACTATTTTCAGGATGATAACATGGGTATAAAACAGAAAATAATTTCCCATTGTGAATAAAAACAACTACATGAAGAAAACGTTCATTCCTGGCTAAGATCCCTTCTCCCACTCATAAAAGTGTTTTTATTCTACCTCTGGGCTTGACTGTTTTCAATATTAGTATGAGAAATGTAACATCCGTGATGAACAGAGTGTGAAATACACTGAGCATTGTCCTATTCAATGTTATGTTTTCCACTGTCACCAAAGGCTTCATTATTCAAACTATTAGTCTGATCTGGTTCTGTGTGGGCTAGAGAAAACAACAGTTAAAACAGACAGAAATTGAGGGAGAGAGTTCTCACTATATTAACCAGAAATGAGGAATCAAACCAAGTTTTTCCTGCGGATGACAATGAGAAGAAGGGGCACTAGTTCAAACCTTTACAACACAGTTGCTAACAGAGGTCCCTGAAGTGCTTTTGGAAATATCTTTGCATTTAAAGAAAAAGAAGTGAGAAGACTTGATTTTTTTTTTAAACACCCCTAGGGTGAAATCCTGCCCTTGTTAAAATCAATTTTCCCACTGATTTAAACAGAACTCTATTTCTAATATACATAGTCTCATTATAAACTGATCTCTTTTGCAGTCCTGGTATACTTGCATCAAGGAATTTCACAAGGCTGGATGTAGCACCAGCAGCTGAAGGGAAATGTGATCAGAGATGTATGTTAAGAAGTTCGCCAAGTCCCAAGTCCCCAGGGGTACTTTTGTGCTGTATGGAGTGTAGAAAGCTCAGGCCCCTTCCACACCCATCCCATGTGCAGTTACTCCCTGTGTGCAAGGGGAGGCTGTACAATCTGATAATTTTCTTAAAAGCTGTCACACATCCATAATGTGAGCATATAGGCATATGAGCATCCCAACAGAAGGGAACCCTGACATAAATCGTCACAGCTTTCTAAGAAAAACAAAGAAACAGTTTTATATTTCATATGTTATTTTTAGATGGCCCAAGTCTACATTTGGCTGCCTAAATCATTCACTTAAAACCACAGCTATGCTTCCACCCACTTGAGACAATTAGATGATGATTTAGGTGCCTTTTACTGAGTTGGGTGACAAAACTATTTGTAATAGGTGCTCAGGTTTAAAGACTGCCTTATAGTTAAGTATGAGAAAATAAATTATAAAAAAGTTGACCAACACATCAATGGAGGCTGCAACTAAGATGTGTGCCACACCTGCCCACCACAGAAATGAGATCTAGAGAATTAAATTAAATTTGGAATGACAATAAGCTCACATTCTTGGTCAGTGCCTTGAAAGAATGAGTAGTCTTGCAGACTAGGTAGAGCCCAAAGCAGCTGGTACAATAAACTTTACTACTCTGCAGTAAGAATGATAAATGATTTCACTAGTTTATGCTTCACCCTATTCCAAGGTCACTGGATTCCTCTCACCAAAAACAAGCTACGGATTGTTGTCGCAATCATAAAGCGAGCTCAGCAATAAAGTACTCTGCCACATTTTATTCTACTATGGCTGTGCTTGCTACCAACCCTTGAACGGTATTCCAGAGTCATATATGCAATGGTGGCTACAGCATTCCATGTTGCAGCGCAGTGTAGACAGTGAGAAACTGTACAACAGTTAGATATACCTTCATTCCCATGCTTTTCTCAAAAAAAACCCAAGGAATTTGAGGATATGAATAGTTCTGAGGGTGAGAATTCCAGAGGTAATTCAATATCTAAATATGCAAATAATCACCTGGTATGATTTTCAGAAGTGTCTAGAGCACTTAATCTACTTTGAAAATCTAGCCCTAGCTTCTTTTCATATTCAGATCCCGAGGAGTTTGTAGTGGGATGCTGACTTGCTTTTTGATGGGATTTTAAGATATCCTGTGCTTTCTAAGTTAGACCATTCTAGGTAGGTTGATAGAAGCTGGAATAATTTTACTGCTTTTAAGTGAAAATTTCTGACTGCCTTGTCTTCAAAGCCATGCAAGTTCCCTACTGGTCCATTATTCACATATGTTCTATTTTCAGTTTCTTTTAATTTACTCTACCATGTAGGCCAGATGGAGCATTGAAGAAGAGGTAAAGAAGTAATCTTTACCAGGTCCCTTTGTGACAAAACTTACGGTATCACCATGATGATATATATTAATAATCATGGAAGTCTGGTCACACAACCCATAACAAACTTTATTTATACTTTAATCTTACATTCTTTTTTCAGCTAGAAAGAGCAGTTGAAAATACACTGTGGAAATTAACTGACAGTAGCTGAATGAAAGGAAATGAATGATGTGACCTAAAACACGTTTTCTATCTCTTGCTTCTGTCACGTAGGAGCTTTCGATAGTTAGGAAGGCGCTCCCTTCCATGCCCAACTGCAGCTCAACTGTTCTGTAGTGCTACAATTTGGGAGCATATTTTAGATTAGACAAATGATTATTGGCAGGCAACGAAATATACAGTTTAGAACCAAACAGTAGAAATGAAAAGAGATAATGCGTCAAGCACTACTTTGCACTGCCTTTGCACCTTCTTGCTGAGGTGGCTTCAGCAAAATAACTTCTGACCAGAAACGTTAACTCAGAGTACAATCGATTGAATTTCAAAATATCTCCCAGGACTTATTCAGTCATCCCTAACTGAAATCTTTGGGTTCCTCTAGGATTTACACCACCAACAATGAGTTCCTGTCACCAGATATTTGGGATTCTACTTAAAGGACCAATGTCCTCTCAATAAGTGAAATTTGTGTTTAACTCTTGTAACTTAGCCGTGACAAAATACTGGAAAAATGTACCGTCAAAGATAATTTTCCTTTGACGGGGGATATATTTGATTGTGTGAAAGAACTTTTTCATCTCTATTGCCATCTACAATTACTTTATTCTTACTCTGCTTTCTGCACATTATTTCCATAATTTTTTTTTAAAAAAAGGAAAAAATGGCATAAACTGGAAAATACAGGAATGCTAATATTTTTTTCTGATTTTTTTTTCTTATATCGCAAAAAAGACAGTGTATCCTGAATCGCTGGTTTTTTCATATCAAGAAAATTTTTGTGTGTGATCAGCCTTGCACTGGAATTTGATTAGCATTGATGAGCAACACATACTTTTTACATTTGTATTTTGACAGTGTTATTTCCTTGCAGAAAGTGCTGCTCAGCTCAGAAATCTATTTCTGGCTCGTCTGTTGATTTGGGAAATCTGTATGATTTTGAGGGTGCATTGTTTGAAAACAACACGCTAAGAGTGTGTGCATCTCTCTAGTGAAGTACAAGTGGTGTTTTTTCTCTAACAAGGGATAAAGAATACCTTGGGCAAAACTTCAGATTTTGTCTGAAATTAATAAGCCTATGGGATTTGCACCAGCAGACAACTTCTCACATCTTCAGCTGATATTGAAGTAGATATCTGGTGACAGGGACTCATTGTAAGGATATGGAAGGGAAGCTGATTGCATTCAACTTTCAAAGTCAAAATACTTTACACAACCTTTGTATTATCATTAATTTAGATGCTTAGTATAAGTTCAGGAATACAAATCCATCTTCAGCACTCAGAACAGCGTTATCTGAGGTGACATCAGCCACTTGTCACGTTCAGTATGATTTAATGTAAATTTACCCCTTTCCAGACACTGTAAGATTTCACATCAAGCACAGCAGAAATGGATTCCAAACTGGTTAATGGAAATGAAAAGCAAGTGCTATGGTCATCACATGGGTTCTTACCACATGCATCTGATAATCACAACAAAGATCACCTTTTTATATGCATTTTGAAGGTGAATTAGGAAAGTAACCATTCCTGTATCTACATCTTCAATATCACAGTTTTGACTCAAAGACATGAAGAAACTTGCTTTGAGAAAATACTACTTTGCTGAAGTCTGTATTCTTTCATCGAAATAATCGTTATCCTACTTAGAATTAATAAATCTATGAAAGGCAACTCTTACCTCTTTAAAAATAATTTCCTTGGGATATACTCTTCATAATAAGGAGAAATTACATACAGCACAGCAGATGAAAGGAAAAGTCTACAGATTAGATTTACAATATATTACAAACGCCTTTCTGTGTGTCAGCATACTCTTTATTGAAAAGGTTTCCATCACTTCCATTGTGCTTCCATCCAGATCCAATCTACTTCCAAGCAGACTTTTTTTAAACGATAAATGGAAAAATTTTAGGCAACTATATGCAAAATGTCATGTCTCTATCCATTGCCAAATGATATAAACATCTACTTACTTTTTAAAATAACTCAATTAAAAAAACCTACTGTATTAAATGACTCAACCAAGTTAACTATCCCTTTTTATGTGGTCCCAATTAGACTCATAACAGTTACAAGTTGCATCATAATTGCAATAGACTTCCGATTTCCCAATGCAGTTATGCTAGGATTTGGGTTGCTCTCTATAATTTCTAAAGGTGATGAAGAGAAGGATGGGTAACAAAAAAGAGAAAACCACAGGTACCTGATCCAGTTTCCAGTGGAACTCTGCAGGACGAAAGGTGTCAGCCTGATCAAAGTCTTTGCGCAACAGAAACACTAATCGGCAGTTGTGCACGTACAGGGCATAGTGATGTCGGTTCATCTCTGAAAGGAGGGACCAATAAGATCAGTGATCTGAACTATCATCAACACTTTTGCTTAGGTGAATGTGTTTGAAAGTAATATACACCCGAAAACCAAAAACCAACCAAATAAAAAACCCCGAAAGAATTACCTTTTCTTAATATCATGGATCATTACTGTTCTCAGGGAACTCACATATGGTAAACGTCTTCCTGAATTATGCCGTATTAGTTTTGGTTTTGGAAGCAGTATGGCCAAATTAATAAATAAAATCCAAATCAATATTTAATCTAACTCGTTTCGATGAAGAATTAGAACTGTTTTTCCCAATCTAAGTAATAAAAAAAATTAAACCTAATTTAATTATTTTATCAACCAATTCCTATAAATTCCTAGAGATGCATTCACAGAGATTATCCAAGATAAGAACCAGTGCTTGAAACTTATGTAGATACCAGTCCCCTCAATAAGCTACTAAGTCAGCAGTTCTTAGAGTGGCACCACCCCAGCCCAGTAACTTTTTTTTTTGCAGACCAAATTAACTGAGGAGAGATGGTATACTATCTTTATTACACCCTTTGCCAAACATTTTTTCAATACATAGACCCACCTGTCTTGTCAGAGTTGCAGAGAATAGTCTCTTTCTCAGCTCTTAACCCTGGACTAGGTCCATGTTTCATCCACAGAGTGATGGTGAATTGATCAGTTAAATTCTTTGGGACTATTCCATCTGGGATTTTGGCTCCTTGCTTTCCATCAAATTTAAAAATCATGTCATTGTTATCCATGAGAAGCCCAGCTGTCCAGTTAGTTGTTGCACTGGGAGATGGTAACAGGTCAATGGCACCGGAGGAAGCTCCTGCAAATGATATATAATGAATAACATGATTGGAAACTAATGAAAATGCTGTGAAGATTAATTGAATATAAGCCAGGGGTCTGATTCACACTCCTTAGGTTATTTTTAATACCCAAACGATCCTACTAGCTTCACTGTTAAATCACATACACATTATATAATACTGACCATACTTAAGCCAGTAAGAGTTCTCTGGATTAAATGTATTGCACAGAGAACTACAGAAAATATTTTAAGGTTATCTTTCTTGAAACTTCTCATTATTTTCCAAAATTCATTAATGACAATTCTTCAGTTATTTCAAGAACTGCTAAGACTAAAACCAAATTCTCTACATCCAGCTGGGAAGCTTTACATCTTCCCTCCCTGACACCAAGGAGATGTATGGTATGTGGGGATGGTGTGTTGCAAAATACAGTACAGCGGGGATGAATGTAGGACAAGTGTCCTAATATCCAGTAGATAGCCACAGCTATTCACAATAATGTTGGTATTGATGTCCATACATACAGAGTATTCACCCTAAAATGGATAATATCACTTTAATGATGGCTTCTGGCAGATACATGATGGTTCTAACTCCACGTGTTCTTGTCTAATGACAGATCTAAGACTTTTAAGCGGTACTCACAGTTCAGATTAGCCTCCCTCCCCCAACCCAAAAGTAAATTATTAGCAAAGTGGTCCCCAGCTACACAGTATGTATTTGTTAGAATTAACTGGGGGGAGGGGGGGGGCGGAACCAACAAAAATGGAAAACACTCTGGTCCCAAGATCTGATGAAATAGCACAATTCTTTACAGCTCTGTGTTTTCTTACAGCTTAACAATTGTCAGACACTTTCAAAAACATGTAATGAGCTACCCAGAGCCTTTACTTAGCTGGTAAAAGATAGCATTTTAGCAGAAAGAGGGCTTGCCATAGTAAAAAGCACAAACAATCTTTGCATTCTTATTGATACTTTGTCAAGTAAGAATACGGTGAACAAACCACAACTGAACAAATGAGGTTATTTTTAAGTGATAATAAAATCAAACCTAACACCGACATGTTTAGAATTTGAGCACAAAGTGTATTTCTTTTACAAATTCTGATTCTGGATAATACACAGCACTGAATTGCTTAATACACAGATTTATTTTTTTTTTAATTCAAGCCACTAAAAAATAAAATTACTTGCACAGGCCACAAGTGAAACCATAATTTTCTCAATCATTTCCTTTTGTGTATTATTTTCTATTTTATCTAGATTTAGAGGGAAAAATGACAGCACCAGAGTCATTTCCACCATATACTGGGCTGCTTAACTATTTTTTTTTAGTGAGATTTATTCTGGACATATTTCTGCAGTCCAAATTGTGTCTTTTACACATTCTTTATTTTTTACTATTGTCAGATGACAAGGTGAAAAAATGTTTACTAAAATGTTTTGAGGCACAACACTAATAACTCCTTGACTTTAAAATGACCCAAGCGTAATTTAATCATTTAAACGGCCCACCTTGATTGTCAAAGTGAGTACAAATCACTGCGTTATTGAAAGGCAGACTTAAAGCATCACTCGTATAGAAAATGAATTTTAATGCACTGTCCTTAGCATCTGAATTCTCCAGATTTCCAACAGATAAATGAAGAAATGAGCACAGGATTTATAAACTAGGTCCTTAATTAGAGAGAGATAATCTTGCATTTTATATGGCACAGGTGAAGATTTTTATGTGATCGCTCAGTTCTTCACTCTCTGCAATCGCACAGTGCTGTACTGGTAGAAAAAAATTCAGGGTTTTCTTCCTTATCAAGGAATTTATTCATCCAACCATTAGATACAATTAAGGTCATTACTGGGAGAAAACTGATTTCCAGAAATTATTTAACCTGCTTTCATAAGCGTTCTCTCTACATTAAGGATGGTAAGAAATACTAAATACCAAAGTGTAAGCTAGTCTGAATGCAATTCTGATAAAAAGTTCATCTTCATTTACAACCTTTTGATCAAACTCCTGTAACAAATTTCTACCCTACCTGTTCTTCTCTATGAAGATATGAAAACCTTGGGAAAAAAATTATTCTTTCACAGTGAGATTTTTTTCCCAAGATTTACATATGCTTTTTAAATTCTATCTACTTTCTCAGGTGCTTTACTTTCTGTTCCTTCATGGATGTGCTGAGTAAAAACTGGAAGTTCAGCAGTAACGTCAGACAGTACATCTGTCCACCTCTTCAAAGGCTGCCTGCAACTACTGTAATGGCACTGACAGACCTGCTGAAATTGTTTTGATCATTCTGCTTTTCACCAGATTAGGCCTGCACATGGTGCAAACAATGAATTAAGATTGAACCAGTATTAGGAATGCTCCAGTTTATTCAGGAGAAAAAGACCTGAAATTCTTTTTTCTACTGATGAAGTGCCAGCAGGTAAGGTAGTCAAGCCACTCTGTGAACTGAACCCCTTGGACTTTGCACAACCTTCCTCAACTAAGGAATTTCACACCAGCAGAAGGTACCTACTTTCAGTCCTAAGCTTAAAATGAGAATATTGTCAGACATAGTTGCTACTAGTGTTTTATGCAAATGTAATCAGTTTTCAGGTTGAAAATACCAGATTTTATGAGAATGCTACTATTCCCACTCACCTTTAGCTCACTTTCCCAATCTCCACAAGTAGTTGGTAACCGTAACTGCAAACAATTTTCCCCTGGGAATTGGCTCTCCATTTTTAATAATTTAGTAATATGGGCTGAAAATTTTCATTTGCAAAATTATTTCTTAAAGGTTAGTGTATTGATCTTAACATATCTGCAACACTGTTGTGAGGTTATCAGAGCAAATGTAAGCCATACAGCAGAGTACCACAAACCAAAATCCATGCATTTAAATGGAAAAAAAAAAAAGTATGTTTGCTACCATAGCTCAGACAGAAGCCAGGTAAAGAGACATTTTGGAGAAGATGAGAATCGATGTTCCACACCCTCAGGGCTTCAGAAGAGGACTCTAAGAAGACAGGATTTTAGAGGGGGAGGAGAGACAGCAGATCTTGAAAGGCAAAAGGTAAATGGCTTAATGTGTGGCCACTGCTTTGCTATACACATAATCTTAAGGTCAGGAAAATACAGCAGTGTCCTCAAGTATTTAATTCACCTTTCAAAATTAATTTGTATCTTCTAGACCAAGTTACCAAAAGGCAGGAAAAAGGAAGAAAATAATTAGGAAACTGTTCTCCACCAGGATACTTCTTTTATAAAATTAATTTTTCTTAGATAATTTTGCTCAAATGATTGCCCTAAATGTTCCTTTACTTTTTATTTGGTTTTACCCTGGCACAGTACTTAGCAGCAGAACAGAAAGCTGAGTCAGGAAGACTGAAACACAAGATGGAGATTTAATTCTCATAAAATCCTACAGTCTTCCTATGATGGCAAATCTATACCTGAAATCTCACTACACTGTCACACTAATATTAGTAGCAGAAGGAAGAAAGAGTGAGAAAGAGATGGAATGAGGAAAGAAAGAAAATAGAGAAGGGGAGCAGTAGATAAAAAAAATTAAAGCAAAGCAGGTGAAAAGTATGAAAAAGAGTAAAAACAAATGGAAGAGTGGAGCACCAGTCAAATATCACTGCTCCCTTCATTTTCATTGCTACAATCCAAAGTGAACCAGCTGAGCTGAATTCATGTATTGTATGCTTACAGGTCACAAGGATGGTGCTTTATCTGGAAAAAATATTATTATTATACCAACTGAAAGCCATATCCGTACCACATAATTTCTGCAGAGATTTTTCTGAGTACGTTTCACGATCACAGCCCTTTCCAATGTAATTGGTCTGTAATTCAATGGTGGTATGTATTGAGGAAACTGGTCCATCACATGTTTCTAGATGGATGCTGGGAAACAAAGGTATGCTGCCAGAACCAGGCTTGTATTCAATCCGTTTGTTCCAGTCTGGAAAAAAACAACAACAAAAAGATACAGGAGTGATTACAAAAGGGAATGGAGTTATACAATTTAAAATGACATAGTGATCTCAAAGGTCACTAAGACAAAAATAAAAGTTTTTGAACTTGGCATCAATAAGTTACTGTCCTAAAAAACCTGGGTTTTACCTCTCTTTGCAAAAGAATGTCAGGGTCAATTAAGTAATACTACCACTGCTAGAGTCACACAAGCATGGGGTACATGCAGATCTTGACAAGAAGTGCTCACTGGTGTCAGTCTGGATCTCTGATGTCCATGTCCCTGTGACAGACTACAAGCTAGCTCTACAGGGATAAGGCTGTCAGCTGCACTGAATTTGGTCAGATTTCATAGTTTTGTGATACAGAACAGTACCTTCAAGGACCAGAAATCTCACCGGATGTGACCAAAAGCTAATATAACACATCTGTAGTGCCACTTCTCATCTTCCAATGTCTTACTATTTTTGTGAAGTATTAATGACAGAAAGTTACAGCTGAAAGGACTACTCAGGCTTTCAGCCATATCTGACTAATCTGTGGTTTTGCTTATGCAGATATCTCACAGCCCACAATATTGAAACTATCGCTTGCCTTAGGCAGCCGCCTGGACATGCCATACATACCACTATGCTTCTCAAATGGAAGCATTTAATTTTTAAACCCAATTAATTATGATGTTTGCAATCTGCTTCAGAGAAAACCCAAACAAGCAGCATTTAATAAAAAACATGTATTTCAGCTATCTTTAGAGTTCATATTTTCATAGAATCATAGAATGGTTTGGGTTGAAAGGGACCTTCACAGATTGCTTAGTCCAACCCCCCTGCCATAGGCAGGGGTATCTTTCACTAAACCAGGTTGCTCAAAGCCCCATCCAATCTGACCTTGAAGACTTCCAGTGATGGGACATCCATACCTTCTCTGGGCAACCTGTTCCAGCATATCACCATCCTTACGCTAAAGAATTTCCTCCTTATACCCAATCTAAATCTACCCTCTTTCAGTTTAAAACTTACCTCTTGTCCTGTCACTACAGGCCTCACTAAAAAGTTTCTCTCTGTCTTTCCTATAAGCCCACTTTAAGTACTGAAAGGCCACAGTAAGGTCTCCCTGGAACCTTCTCTTCTCCAGACTAAATAACCCCAACTCTCTCAGCCTTTCTTCATAGAAGAGATGTTCCAAGCCCTTTGGCCATTTTCGTGGCCCTCCTCTGGACCTGCTCTAACAGGTTCATATCTTTTTCATACATTTTAGCCAACTCCAGCCAAGTTACCACACAATATAAATAAGAATGCCAAGTTAATACAGAGATGCAAATAGTTAATTATTTTGAAGTCACAAACCCATTCAACTCTGCTACCTCATGTGTACACCTGTGTGTCTGTAGAAGTTGTCAAAAGAAGTACTTTTGCATACACAGCTGAAGTATCGCTGACTTTTTTTAGTCCTAGGTAAAAGGGGACTCCATAAATGGAAAAATTCTAGGTCTTGGCATTCAATGAAATCTCTTAAAGCAAATGGACAGCAGCATTATTTCTAAATATCAGTGGAAAGAAAAGTAATAATATACGAATATGTGCATTTAGTAGGTGAAGGAGTTTGGTGTTTTTCAACAAGCATCATTTTCAGAAAGCTTGAAAAAGGGTTCTCTCTCCCACTATCTTAAACTGGATTAAAAATTTACAAGGAAAACTGAAGCAAATATTTTGCAACATAGAGCAATCATTAGTCCAGAATCCAGACAAAGGAGATAGGATGCTGGCAGTCACTGGCCTGCATTTCAAAATTCTCATATTTTCTTCATGGCTTTTAATCCAAATGGTAATCATGTAGCATTCTGTTCTCCAGAGGAAGCTGAGACTTCATGGAACATTCTGAAAGTGTGTTTCGTATCTATTTTTACTAAAATCTTTAGGAATTGTATGTCAACTAACTAAAAGACAACTACAACTACTTTACTGCCTGTGCACTCATCAGCTGAGTTGCTATTTTAGTAGTAATTTTCATGTAATAATATTCAGCCCATTCATTCCATATTTAGTTAGATTTGATCTGCAGTATTGCATAATTTGTCTGCAATTGTCAACTTAAACAGTTCCCTTAGAATTTCAAGTATCGTATAAGGTACATCATTACAATAACAGATTTCTGTTCCCTATCCATTCCACAAAGTCAAGATTAATATTTTTTTCCAATCAAACAAGAGCAGCAAATTCTTTCAGATACTTAAGGTAAAAATAAAATAATTTCCTATTTTGCATACATGCAAGCGATATATGAATTACTGATCTTTATAGTCTCTTATTCACCAGTTAAATATTATATTCCTCTACCCAAAAGGAAAAATCTGATGTTTCTGAAAGGAGTCTCAGATGTATCTGAAACATTTCTGACTATCTCAGCAGCTTTCAGGTCTCAGCCACATTTTCATTTCTCAGCTATAACAAATCAACTGGCACTCATGCAAAATATTCATTAGTGTATGTGAGATGTGACCGAATTATTAACTGTAACGTATCTGCAATTGTTCACTCATCTCCAGTTATATGAAGAATGTCTTATAAAAACCCACTACTCACAAGGAAGAATAATGGAAGACCTCTGTTTCTGCCACATGACTGTCCCTTGGCTCGGAAGAGGAGGTGTTTCATTTCACTGTATTACCTTTTAACTCAGCAAAAATGGTAGTTTGCACCCAGAGATCATAAACCCTGAATGCTCTAAATCACCTACATTTATCTCAGCTCTAAATTGTAAAACATCAACTAGACAGTGTCTTTGTACCTTGGTCTCCTGCAGCACCGCAGACCCATCCTCATCCTAAATCCCACTAGCACTTCTTTCACTCAGTGCAGATTTAGGTAGCCCGCCCAGGAGTCCCTCTCCGTGCAGAAGGCATTCCCAGGCAGGCATGAGGCAATACTGAAGTATGTTACAATCCTGTGACAGCAGGACAGTCCTTAAAGGTAGCAATAGCTCTGATACAAATCAACTGGCTTGTTTATATAGCACCTGCACCACAGCATTTCAGCATCCCAGAGGCATTGCAGCTGAGGCCAGCACCTCTGTATCTCACCATCAGTAAAGTTAGTAATGTTGGAAAGTGCACAGACTTAGAACAAGCAACAAGAAGTGGTGGCAGTGTGAAGAGCTTATTGTGTGAAAAATCCACGTCTCACATTTAATTTTGAATGTGGTGAAGATCATTATTTTTCTTTCTCTCATAATAACATCCTGTATTGGACACATTCAAAAGATCAGCACCTTTCCCACAGGAATGTGGTAGCACTTTTTCGATTCCTCTAGAACCGACTCAGGGGACAAGTCTTATGTAACCTGAGTTTACAGAAGCCTCTGAATTTCAGATATTTAAAAACTGTATCTTAAAATGTGACTCATGTCTATGGTTATGCAAACAGTCAAAAGATATATAATCCCATCTGAAATGGTAGGTTGCAGTAGATTAGCTAAACTCAACCAACATGGTTCCTTCTTTGACCCAAACTGTCATGCGACACCTCCACATTACAGTGCAAACTTGGAAAGGCAAGCACTGTCTCCCCAGTAGCAGGGGGAGTCTAATCCCGTGGGAAAAGCCTGAGTAAAACTAGCCCTGTTTAGTACTGCAGAAGACAACCTTTGTCTGGATTTTTTAATTCAACAGATTTTTGCTTGACACTTGTGGTATAAAGCTGTTCCAGACAATATAAAACAGCCCCAGCTGGATTATACCTACAACACAACAACATCAGAGTGTAAACATCACAGTGTCAAGTTTGTGGTTCAGATTTCATCAATTATAAAACCAACTATGTAAACTTGGATCTCAACCTCTGAGATACTCAAACTATTCCAAGATCAAAATGGACCAAACTTCAGTGACAGTTTGAGCCTTTAAAAGTAAATCCCAATGCACTAAATAAACTTTCCTTTTGATAGCAGGATAATATAATGACTTTCCTTAATCTCTACACTTAACAGTTTTGTACATGACCCTCTTTCCTTGTGATCCATGTATTATATTTTAATTCATTTCTAATGCTTGATGACACTAAGAATGATTTAATCTCATTTTTTCTTGAAGGAGTATGGCACGCACATGTGCAGAGAAGGTATGACCTGATTCATGTCTCCTCCTACATAGCCATGCATATGGCCATGAACTTTGATTCCACCTCATGACAATAAAAATGACGGCAAGGTAATTAAAGACAATTGCAGCACAACTCCTACTATGCCAGTGAAATGCAAAACTTTCCTTATGTTGGACTGAAGATGTGCATCCTGCCAGATAAATGTAAGATAAAATTTCTGTAGTGCTATTAGTGAGTCTCTGCGACATCTCTACAGAATTGCTGGAACATAAGGTTCCCAGAGAAATGTAATTGGTAGATCTGTTTCTTCTACAGTATCTTCACACCTGTCCTATCTCTGTAGCCTGGGTACTTGGCTAAAGGTTATTCTGCTGGTTTTGGTTTTTTTTTTTGTTTTATTTATACACTTCACAGCTTTGCTGAAGTTCCTTTTTTATTAAACACTTTCCTCTGTTAGTTTGAAAACCTGAAACAATCTAGATGTAAGATAATCAGTACACACAAAGCATTTCAAACAAGATCAGAAATGTCTCTGTAGTTTTGCCAAAAGTACATTTATTTTCATGACTTATGAAACTCCCTGTACCTTAAAGGCAGCAGCCAGGCAGCTCTTGATGCTGTACAATGATGTTTGGAAGAGCAGTGCACTGTCCTCACAAAACTACAATTTTGTTTCAACACCATGAATTTACCAGAAACTGCACATGTAGCCAGAATACCATAAACTGCAGCCACCTCAATAAATACCTGCTGTACAGTTAGGCATTCTACATGCAAAAGACCAATGGCCATAAATAAGACATTTCTAAAATGTATATGCTTCGGTACTTGAATTTCTACACTGAACTAAAGATAAAGGATTTTTAGCAAAACAGAGGGTAACAGTTCCTGC